CTGTGCAAATTGTGAGATTTTTATTTAAATCTGCAAGATTTGGCCTGAAACTGTCTCAGTGCTCCCCTCTTTTGATTTAATGCTAGCTACTGCAGCTGACCACACCCCTCAAGGTATCTTGGCTCTGCCCACTTTGGATGAAGTTTTTCAAAAATTGCCTTGAGGCAGGTTTATGCTTTTATATGTGTTTTTCTCTCCCTTTAGGGGGCGCCACAGCAGACCATTTCCTGTTAATAAGGATGGGCATTAATTAATTATCGTTTATCACGACACATTTCATTTCATAACAATTTAGATTTATCGTCACAACAAATTTTAATTAATGTTTAAAACTCCATAAAGCTTAGCTTTACTATTTTCTCCAATGTTTGTTCAATAACAGTAGCTGCATTTCCATTGATGATATAATTGTGTAATTTGACATTTCTAAAATAAATTCACTTAATGGAAAAACGGCAACTTTGAAAAAACTCGTTTTGCTAGAGCGTTTTGGCGCTAGGGTGAGGTGGATTTATTTGATCAAAATTGGTTAATTTCGCAAAATTGCAATGGAAACCCTTTTTTCACATCACGAGTCGTGATCCACAACCGGATGTTGGCTCAAAACATGAAGAAGAAGACAGGAAGTAGTAGTTGGAGGATAATGAAGCGGCATGTTTTTTAATAACTTATCATGTGAACAAACTTATTCACGTGATATTAATTACGGTTATTATTTAATGGAAGCACAAGAATTGTGAGATTGTATTTTTTTTTACATTAGCGGAATATCAACAAAGTTTTGCACTGATCTTTAATTAAAGTGCAGCTGCTATCAATACATATGAAAATATGATTAAATTCTTTACTGTGTGCAGTTTAGTGATACAAATCACACATGTGTTTTGGAAGAGCACATAGTTCTTATTGTTACTTTTATCATTATCCCAATAGTACCACAAAACATCATCATGATGAAACTCTAAGTCCACAATGTCCCGCCCCTTTCTGCTCGGTCTACTCACTTATTTGCCATCATCTTGCATCTCTCCATCATCTCTGTGAGAAGTGGCTGATGTGGAAACAGCGATGGGATAACAGTTAGACTTTCATTCAGCTGATGCCCGTTTGGGCTGAGCCCAGCGGACAGGCGTTTACCTCCGGAGCTCTGTACGCGACGCACTGCAGGATCCAGTTGATGGCGGGCGAGTAGAGCATCAGGTACGCCGGCACCTCCACCTTCTGCAAGTGCAGCTGCTTCTGGACGCTGTCACCGCTGATCTGCCTGAAGGTGGTGAGCAGATCGAAGATGTTGGCGTTCAGACTCTCCTTCAGGTGGGGCGCCACCTCCATGCCCACCTGGGGATCGGAAGGGGCGTCAGGTCTGAGCCGCAGGACGGCCGGGGGAGGAGGAGGAGAGGGTGACTCACCCTGCAGAGGTAAGCTCTGGCGTAGGCGGCAACCAGAGGGTCTCCCATCCCACGGATCATGGCAGTCAGCCGGGGAAGGGTCTCCTGGATTCCTCTACAAAGAGGTGAACCGTGAGTCAGTTTGTGGACAGTCCTCAGAAAGGAAAACGGTGTTGGAGGAGACTTACGACTTGCTGAGGAAACGGTTGCACTTGAGGATAGCAGCTTCCACATATCTGAGGTCAGAGGTTAAAGAGTCAACTTCAGCTTCCAAACGTTGACCAAACACAACCGTTACGTAAGCCCAGATGTGGAGCCTTCTGCACATCCATCCTCAAAGCCCACACAGGAACTCTTCCACCCTGACTCAGAGCTTTGGTTCCAGAACTCAAACATCTGCTGGTGGATACAGTCGGGGCAGCAGCTCCCTGATGGAGGCGATCTTGAAGAACCAGTTGAGGCACGTCTCCTTCGCCGTGTCGTTCACATCTTCTACTGTGAAGGAGTCTGAGAGAGAGAGTGAGAAACTCCCTGACTTTACCTACTGAGGCTCTAGATGTCATTAAGTGCCATCAACGTAAAGGGTTCTGAATTCAGAGGCATGCCACACTTTTAGGATTCTAATTCATATTGATCCAGAGTATAAAACCCCAGTGAAGTAAACTGAAGTTGGAGGCTTTAATGTGACAGAAATGGAAACATGTCCAGACTTACCCGGCAGAGGTCTGGGGTCTGAACACATGGTCCAGATCCTGTCATACACCAGACGGCCTACAACACACACATATACAACATGATGTAACAGCTCGACAACAGCAGCAGCAGCTGACAGGAAGTGAACGCACCGAAAGTGTCGAGGATGTCGGTGATGAGGACGAACTTGCTGGGGTAGAACTGGATCACAGACGTGTCGGACAGAAGTTTGGAGCACTGGAACGCATCTCACAGGTCAGTGTGGTTGACCCCGAAGAGTAAGGAGGAGTGTGTGTGTGTGTGTGTGTGTGTGTGTGTGTGTGTGTGTTGTTACCTGGATGACGATCTTCAGGGCTTTGACCTTCTGGTCGGAGGACCAGGCCTCCTTCAGGGACTGGTTGAGCTCCTCGATGCGGTTGGCGTAATCCTGCTGGGAGAGGTTGAGGAGCTCCCTGTGGGAACCCTTTAACACACACACACACATACACACCAAGCTGTCACACACCTGCTCCAATCCAGTGACGATTGTTAACATGTAGTCACCACAAGTGATGCACCTCCTCCAAATCGTCCAGCTCCTCCAGGCGAGTGCGGACTTTCTCTGAAACGGCCGACGATCCTGGATTGGGAGCTTTTCCTGGTGGACAAAACGGATTTGTCAGCTCTCCACTGAAACGGGACACCTGTTTACACACTCATTCAAATATATATAGTATAATAGTATAACCAAGTATAATAATAAGAAAATAAATAAAAAGAATAACTAGATCCAAAACAAGTGGTCTTACCTCTGTCAGAGCCCATACAGAGATTCTGCAAAGAGAAACACAGAAGCCTTTAGGTTTTAACTTTAAACCGTTGCCGTGGCAGTGTGTGACAAAGTCCAATAAGCTTCTACATGCAATCATGTCTGAAAAAATGTCAGACTCACAATGGACAGTTTTTCAGTGGTGGTGAACCTGGCCAGGATTTCTCCTCGTTTCGTTGACCAGGGCTCAAAGTCGGCTCCAAGGGCCTCTTCCTCCTTTACCCTCCTCTTCCTCCCGAGATCCTGGAAGCACAACATGTCTGTTTAAAAGAACAGAATTACCCGTCCCCTCTCTTTGTTTTTCTCCTGCCGGGTCAGCTGGTGAACTGACCCCCACGGAGCTGCTGTGGGACGCGGCCGCCGATGTCTCGGTGGCGGCAAACATGGACAGGGGGTCTGTCCCGTCCAGCATGGAGCTGAGGGGGTCCACGGGTGCTGAGGAGGATGAGGAGGAAGATGAGGAGGTGCTGCCTTTGCGAGCTCCACGGCGGGTCTTTGTGTCTGTGACCTGGACGGAAACAGAGAGGGGTCATTTTGTGAATCGGGTCAGCAGGTTTCAGACTGTGGAGGCTGGACAACAGGAGGCAGGTGATACCATGATAGGCTTGAGGGGATGGTAGTCTCCGAACTCGACAGGAAGTCCCTCAGGATGACACCTCTGCAGCTCTGCCTCATAGTTTCGCCCACGAGAGCGCCTGTTGGCACAACAAGCAGGAGATGTATTCATAAAACCTATCTACAATTCCAGCACACAACGCTTACTGAATTAGTCCTGCTTTAAACTATCAACTTGAAAGATAGATAGATAGATAGATAAATAAATAAATAAATAAATAAATAAATAAATAAAGTGTGTACAAGCTTTTCCAACCGATAAGTTAGTGGCTGTTATGTTATGGCTTTAGCTAAGTAACAGCTAAAAACTGTAGAAAAAACGGTTAAAAATACACAGCTACAAGTTAAATGCAATATATGCATACTTAAACGTCGCATATTAAAATACACGACTAGTTTAACAGTTCGGTTTTCATAGCTACATGTTTTAGAATGAGAAAAAGCATCTTACCACTGCACCGAAGCCATTTTTTTTTTCATATCACATGACACTTCTGGACTTCCTGATTCAGGCTGTAATTTGGTGACGAGGTGGTTTTTTATCTTTAAATTTTTGCGCTGATGTCATTGTCATTGTTGCTACTTTGTCAGAGCTAAAGTTACAGTAAACAATGGCTCAAAACTTAATTCAATGCATCGTTTACTAGAGCTAGGAGATGTTTTAAAAAATATTGCACTTGCAAATGTGACTTCATTTCCCATGATACATTGTGTGCTTCTGATGCTGAGTTCCAGTTACCTCGGAAGCCGGAGATGCATTCGAGATAGTCGAAAAAGAAGTCGGGATTTCAACATGGTGATGCGCATAGACATTGTTGGCAGTACCTCTTACGGACATAATTTTAAGCTTTGCTTTCCACAAGCAAACACCAGTTAAAATGTTTAGTTTAGATTTGCAGGTGGGACATGTAACATTGACTTTAGAAGCACGCTTACACATGTGTCTTGTAAAATAAACATGTTTTCACCACTTTTTACTATTGTAAGTTGGCTTTATAAGTCTTAAACTGAGTGTAGTCGGAGTCGCTCCCAAGTCCCCAGTGGGAAATCCGACTTCGGGGGACGTTTCCCAGGTTCCTGTTTTTGTCCCTGGATTTCCCAGTTCCGAATACACCTGAAACGCAGCTCCGTCAGGAAAAAAGATAAAAATAAAGAGAGAGGTCTCACTTTAACTAATTTTACACCGATTAATCTCAATTTTGTGTATTTAACTATTTTATAATGCAGCTGTTGGTAGTGTTTAGTTTAAAAATTAACTCAATATTTATCTAATTTTATGTCTCCTCCTTAACACAAGGAAGTTCTACTTTTTCTATATGTTAGTGAGACATCTGCTTAAAAGACGAACTTCGTCAATCTCACCGCTTTGTACTGTCGGTCTTTCTGTAGTCAGTGAAATTCTTGTAGGTCACTTGATTAGTGAAACCATGACTTGACAACAATTTCATCACTTGCCTACATAGTTCTTCTGAGCAGGTAAACTCCTCCGTTGCTAATCTATGTCTTTGAAAGTGGATTATTGTTATCGTTAACTGAACACTTAACAAAGGTGGGGGATGCTAGAGGTTAGCTAGTCTGCTAATGTAATACAGCTGTAACTAATTGGAGGAATGCCCGTGGTTAACGAGATTATACAAGTCAGAAGGTAAAATGACCTTAACTTGGGTTTTCTGTGGCGGTTTCTGGCTTCATACAGCGTTACACTGCTCAGAGAAAGCACATAATTTTGACCCTAACATTAGCTTTATGAATGTGTTATTCTCTTTATGGTGCTACAAAGCGTGATATTGGTCTAAGGTTGTGACTTTGAAGGGTAATACACTGTTTAAATATTGACAGAAATGCATAAGCATGACGATAAACAATAGAAAATAAATATTTTCTATGTTTCTATAAATTTACCAAAACGAAAAAAAATCACAGGGTGTCCAGTCAGTTGTATTGCGTTTAATTTAAACTAGAAAATAATGACATAAATAACATTAAACAGTTTAATTTCACATTCAACATTTTGGTTTTGATAACTTCAGAGTCACATCCCAAACAAATTCCCCAAATCTAATGATGGAAAAAAAAAAAGGTGAAAGAAAACAAATGACCAAATAGAATAAAAATATTTCGGGACATCCCCAGAAATTGTAGCCCTGGACTACTGCCCCTCTAAAGTCTGGCCTAGTTGGAGTTCTGATGGTTAATGTCTTTGTGTGGTGCTAATGTTGAGTTAGCATTGTGTATTTACATTTCTCATCACAACTGTTTAGCAAACACGCAAATATAAAATAAATATGCGTAACTACGCAAATAAATGACTGAGAAATAATTTATTTATACCTATAATATAATATATGTCCAATTAGTTTAGTGGATTAAAACATTTCAGAAGCATTGACCTGAGCCATTACCATAGCAGCAGAGATATATCTATGACTGTTCTGCTAGTAGAAGTCCAGATTAGGTGGCAAAAAGAGCCAAAATGAGTAAGAGGCTGTTGGTGTCACTTTCGAGAAAAAAAAGTCAAATATTATCTGCGAATGAATCCGTGTGTGTAAAAATAAATATTTGAAGAAATGATAAACATTCGGAGGAGAAGAGAAAGCAAGTCCCAACTCGTTAGCAGTGAAAACTCTGCAGCTTCTGCTTGCGGGGAGGGGGGATGGATCAGGTTTCTATACAGTGTGGATCATGAAATTTGAGGACTGAAAATGGCATCCTCCATTAGAGGACGGAGTAAAGCTTATTACGGTGAAACACAGTGAAGTGCTGGCCCGCCTCCCATCTCAGAGCAGATTGGGGACATCGGTTACCATAGAGATTCTGCTCCGACATGATTCTGTCCCTTCTTCCTGTCAGGTTCACTACATGAATAATCTGACTTTTAAACACCTTTTTTTTCTTCCCAGTCAGCTGAAATCCCATCTGTGCAGACCTGTCGCTCTGTATGTCCTCATGTTTATCTCTCACTTATTTATGTCGAAAACCGTTCCATCATCATCCATCTCTAAAGGGGAAAGACCTGGTGGTCACTGAAAAAAGTGGTACCCTTCGACCTCACTTGACCTCATGTTTTCATGCACTTCCATCGTTTTTAATTGTCTGAACCGACCAAATAGCCTGACTTTACTCTCTTCCTGTTGGCGTCCATCACTACGACACGTTAGAACCACAGACTTTAGTGGATTTTATTGGGAATTTATGTGAGGGAGCAACACAAAGTGGCAAATATTTGTGAAGCGGAAGGAGAAGCACACGTGAAAGAGTTGACTCATTGTGCTGAATACAAACACACACAAGACTTTTCAGATATTGAATTGTAAAACACTCTGTTGTTCTCCCACATCAGTTGTCTACTGCTTGGTGTTGATATATTGCACAAAACACGCTAGAGTTTTTGGCTGTAACACAACAAACTGTGTGTGAATTTAACGGGCCATTGCATTCCTACGCAATTCCGCTCGATTCTCATCTCCCTGCAGCGTTCTGTGTGGAATTTCTCCCATTGAGTTCGATTTCTCTGGTTGAGTTTCAACCAGGCCAGTTAGCGAATAGAAGGCAGCTGTTTTAGAATTGTAGTCTGCCTATATAAGGCTATAGTATGTGGTTCAAATGAATGTTTTCACATCTGATAGTCCGGTAGACTCTGTTCAATTGGGAACCAAAATGGCAGCACTACATTTTCAGTTGGTGAGATTCTCTTTCACACTGTACTGTATCAAACATCCCAAACCTTTTGAAAATCCTGTTCCCTCCCCTCATGCCTATGGTGCTGCTGCACCAAGAACTGCTCAAGGAAATGACTCATAAACCTCTGAAGTAGACACTGAATACAACTTCCTTCTTCACGAAGTACAAGCAAAAATGGAGTGGCGTCAGATTTTAGGTTGTAAGATTTCTCTTTTGTTGTTGGCTAAAAACCATGAGCCATTTCGCCCTCTTGCACCAGACACACGGGTTTGTTTTGGTTATATTTACCCAGAATCCCTTGCCTTGCTTTTGGAATAGTCTCTGGTCCATTTGCCTTGGCATTGGCATTTGAACTGGTCCAGAGTTCACATCAACCAAACTGAGATCTAGGTTTGTAGGCGGACCAGAACTTCCCACCCCAAACTGACTGGACTTTCTCGGCAAACGTATTAGAGTTGGATTCAGTCGGACTAAACAGGGCTGGTGCAAAGGGGCTGTAAAGATGTCATAGCTGTACCACCCATGCAGTTTTACGACCCACAGCATTTCCATAAGCTCCATCGAGCTGAAACTGTTCAAACATCACTGCCAAATGTTTGCGATTGTGTAAAATCAGATCAAATTGTTTCAAACTTCAAAGGAGTTAAGTCCTCTGGGAAGCAATCATTTTCCAATAAGTCCAGAACCGCCGCAGTGTAGAACAAGAGGCTGGTTCTTCCCAGGCTGTTAGTACTTTTAGGAGGCTCTGTCTCGGTGCCAGTTGTAATTTTGTAAGCACCATCAGAGGGAGCAGTACTCAGCTTGATGAAATGTCGCCTCAGGATCATGTAGCCACTTTATGTCCTTCCGGACCCTTTCATCGTCTTGCATTCCCTCCTCCCCCCTCTCATACCCTCCTTACAGGGTTACCGCTCTGCTTCTCCCCTCCTAATTTCTTGGACCTCTTAATTGGCGCGGATCTGGCCCGGTCCTGAATTATTCAAAGGAGACGTTGGTTTCTGGGGGCTGACAGGTGTCCCTTTGCACTTGATCACTTCGTTTTCCATTAGCTGTGAGTGAAAGGTGCCATTAGATTCTCTAGGAAACTGTCCTCCCTCACCGACCGCAAGTCTTCCTGTTGGACGTCCGCTCTCTACCTGAGGAAGACGATGGAGAACTCGGTGGCCGTCTGGCTCCAGTACGACGAGCTCCTGTTTTACACGGCCTGCGTTTCTCACTGCTGGTCCATGTGTCTGTGCGCGTGCGTGTGCTTGCAGGGCAGAGTGTTCCGGAGGCGAGTGGCCGGCGGTGGCATGCGTCTGGGCAGCAGCTGGAGGTGGCAGCTGTCCCGGGCCATGCGGCTGGCGCTGCGCTTGCGCCGGCTTTGCCGCCCGCAGGAAGGAGGAGGTCGGGTCGGGGTCAGGTTGACAGCGGCGTGGAGGTACGGCAAGCTGCTGCTTCGCTCCCTTTACTACAACAGCCTCACCAACTCGGACACGCTGCTGGACTGCGCGTTCGAGCCAGTCTACTGGATCGTGGACAACGTCACCCGGTGGTTTGGAGTGGTGAGCTCTCTGTTCCAACCGACTGGCCCTGACTCTGCTCTGGTTTCTCTTCAGCATCTCTCTTTCCCCCCGTACCCCTCCAGGTGTTTGTGTGCCTGGTGGTCCTGCTGACGTCCTCTGTGGTCATCATTGTCTACCTGTTTGTCTTACCAACCATCTTCTCCTCGTACCCCGCTCACTGGATCGCCTGGCATCTCTGCTGCGGCCACTGGCTGCTGATCCTGGTGGTCTTCCACTACTACAAGGCCACCACCACCTCCCCCGGACACCCACCCAAGGTACTACATCCACCATAAAGTACCGTAACTGGCAAAGGTATTCAGTAGTCATTCGAAAAGTAATGACACTTTTAATGCAAAGTTGATACTTTTAATGGACTTTTAATGCAAATTTTGCATTAAAATTGTCATTATTTACCAAATGACACTTCATAACAGATGGCAAACTTACATTATGATAACATTGCCAATATATTGCTTGAAAATATATTGCGACAAACAATATTCTTGTTTATCGCAGTAATTTGTGGGACAATTTATTGTCGGCTGTAATTAGTTACGGTGACATTCCTGGTCTTTCCGAGGCATCGCGGACCGTTATTGTCTCAGTAAAGTCTTTTCCATGTCTGTGTATTTCAGGACAAACGCGACGTTCCATCTGTTTCCATCTGTAAGAAATGCATCACCCCCAAACCGCCGAGGACGCATCACTGCAGCATCTGCAGCCTGTAAGCTGTTCTCTCTCCTCCCGGGCGCCAAGCCGGTTCGGCCCATCTTTATGTCACAGAGCTGTTTCTGTTGTGTTGCAGGTGCGTCCTGAAGATGGACCACCACTGTCGTATCCTTTCAGCCCGTAGAACATGTGAAACGGCTCCACATGAAAACGATGGGAGCGCTCCAGCCTCTCTGAATCTGCTGTAAATGTTTGACCTGAACACCTTCCCAGCCTGGCTGAACAACTGTGTCGGCCACCTGAACCATCGATACTTCTTCTCCTTCTGCCTCTACATGACCCTGGGCTGCGTCTACTGCAGCATCAGCAGCAGAAACCTGTTTCTGGATGCCTACAGCGCTATAGAGGTGAGTGAGTTCTGTTAGGGTTCAGAGCGCTTTACCTCCATTTAGTTTGATCACCAGAGCCTTGTTTGGCCATTTAGGATCAACAAAATATGACTGATGACTGTATTCAAACTTAAAGGGGCAGTATTGTGTGTTGTCCAGCCACATAGCGCCATTTTATAGCACAATCACACAACTATGTTACCTTAAATTGTTGTAAAAAGGTTACATATATCAAATATGACTTAAGAAATTTGGCAGTGTAAGTTAGTTCCTTGAAATTGGGCTGCTGTCTCTTTAAAACTCCGGCTCTTTCTGAAACTCCACCTATGGGAAGTCATCACAACATGGCTCCTCTATTAACCCTTTAACAACTTTTTTTTTAACCAACATTGAGCTGAGAAATATCTCCTATGATGAGATGGGTAAGGGTTAGCCACCAGGTTAAGCACCAGGTGTTTGCTGATTGTTTCTGGCTAGTCTGAAGGAGCTGAGTGGAGGAGTGGCGGGGTAGAGCTGCTCTGAGAGGTGGAAGCTCTAAAGCTTGGAATCTGCAGCTCAGAGGAGGAGCTTCGTCTTTGAAGGCGGAGCTAGGTCCACCCAGGCGTTTTGCACAGTTGAATGGTTGCCATGGGGATTAAAGGATTGCTCAAACATGCATGAGAGAATCAGCAGGTCAGGCTGTTTTAAAGATCATAAAACTTCAGTCAATGCAACCTTTGTCCTCATTTTTTTTAAAGCTTGATACTTTAAAATCTAAACATAAATTTACAGTCATGATTCTTCAATGAAATAACTCAACGTTTCGTTTATGGGCTTTGTGGCTCTAGACAAACGTTTCAGGGAACTGAAGGCTCTGGATAGTAAACGTTGACGACCTCTGCCCCGAGGTGTGGCCTAGGAGCTTTAATGAGATGTTTGTAGTGACAGCATCTGTGAGGTGGAAGTCAGAAGGCAGAATCTGATCTCAGATGGAGGGCAAAGATAGAAACAGGACACCTGGAAATGATCTTGTTCTCAAATCTACGTCTGATTAAGGATCTGAAAAGCTGAGAAGTAAACAACACAGGCCATGTGATTAAGGTCTGGAAGATATGCAGCGCTGCACAACAAAAAGCCTAATCATTTGTTTATGATCATTTACAGAGATGTCAAAATGTTATTCATCTTTTCTTATCCAGGTTTTTGTGAACAAAATAAAACTTTTTCACTCTTTTTATTTGTCTTTACTGTACCTTATCTTACAGTACCTTCACTGCCCCTTCATAAAGTTCTAGATCTAGAATTTTATGAAGTTCTAGATCTAGCAGCAGTGTCCAAACTAGCTAATTTAAATAACTCATGCGCCACAAAATTTATTTACAGTGGAAAAATTAGTTTATTTTTTTTTCTTCATTTTCTTTAGTTTTATCTGCCA